TCGGAACTACGATGATGGATTTGCTCTTTTCAAGTCTAAGCATTTAGTGCTGTGGGTTTTCCACACAGTACTGCCTTAGCTGCATTAAGATGTTGATAGGTTGTATTTTCACTTCCATTCAGTTGTTTGTTTTCCTTTGTTTCCTGTGGTACTTCCTCACTGACCCGTGAATCATTTAGACGTATAATTGCCGAGTATCGAAATTTCCCTGTTCTGTCTTTCTGTTATTATTTTTAGTCTGATTCCATTATGGTAAGATAACTCACTCTGTGATTTCTATTCTTTGCCTGGTCCAGGATAGGTCTGTTTTGGTGACAGTTCCCTGGGCAGTTGAAGGACTGTGTATTCTGTGGTTGGGTGGCGTGTTCTCCACGTGCCAACTAGGTTCTGTTGGTTGGTTGTGGTGTTCGCGTCTCTCCTTGGTGCAGCTCTGCCAGTTGCTGCTAGGGTGTTGGAGTCCCTAACTGTACCTGTTGATGTCTCTCTCCCTCCTCAGCTCTGTCCATTTTCCCTCCTGTTGTGAGGTTTTGTAGTTTGGTGCATACACCTTTAGGATTGTAAAGTCTTCCTGGTGGGTCAAGCCTTTTGTATCATGTAATGTCCCTTTTGGTCTCTAGGAATTTTCTATTTTACCAGATATTAATGTAGCCATTCCTTTTTTTAGACAACAACAACAACAACAAGCAGTGTTTGCCTGGTATAGCCCAGTCTCTCCCTTTACTTCCAACCAACCTAAGTCGTTGAGTTTGAAGTGAGTTTCTTGTGAGCAGCATATAGTTGGGTGGTGTGCTCTATCCGCTCTGCCAAGCTCTGTCCTTAACTTGGTGTGCTCAGAGTGTTTTCATGTAACGTAACTGTCGCTATGTGAGGGTTTGAGTGACTTTTTGTTTTCTCTGTTTCATGTTCTTTCTTTCTTTTTTTTTTGCCTTCCTGTGAGTTACTAGATTGTTTTTCAGAGTTCTGTCGTGACTTAGTTATGTTGTTTTGGGGTGTGTCTCCTGCAGTTTTCTTAGTGGTTGCTCCGGGTGTTAAAATACAGACATCTGACTTGCAGCTGCGACTGGCGTTTTGCCATTTCTCGTGAGGTGTGGAGACCTCCACTGAGGGCCCTTTGCTCTGCCCACTTCAAACACTGTTGTCTTGCGTATCTGAAGGTGCTGCTGTGTGTCATCCTGTGTGATGTAGAAAACTCCAAGGAGGGCCTGCCATAGTGGCCGTGTTGCCGCCTCTCCATCGTGCGTCCTTCCCGATGTCCCCAGGTCCCGCCATTGTTTCCTTCCTGTTAGGAGAACTCCTTTAAGTTTGCTAGGACAGACTTCCTTTGCTTTTCTCTGTCTGCTTTTACTTCATTCCTCAAGGCTAGTGTCACCAGATGGGGAATGTTCTTTCCCTCAGAGCCCCTTATCCACTGGCTTCCTCGGTCCCTTCGGTGTGGGCAGGTGGTAGGTGCCTAGCTGTGGATCTGCAGAACCAGCCAGTGAGTGACATGCCCAGTTGGTTGCTCCCTGGGATACTGAGCCCTGCTGTCTCCTGGGAGTCTCATTAGGATCGTTTCCTCATGTCCCCTGCCTGCTTCCTTCTCCACCCCCAGTACTGGGTCGGATGGCTCATCTGCCCCCCAGAACGCCCACACCCACCACATTGTGTGGAAATTGGTGACTTTTCAGTGGGTGGCCTGAAAAGGTCCGGCTCCGAGATCAGTGATGTCATCTCACCCTCTGACTCCCAGCGTGGAGCATTTTGGCCACAGCAGGTGCTCAGTGAGAATTTCTGGATCATGGGTAACCCTGAACCACCATGTTCTGGGCTGTAGGGGAGGTGAACACGAGCCCCCCCACCCCCCGAGAGCGGTCCAAGGCATTTATAGAGTGGCCTTCTCTCAAATCACCTTCAGAGCTTCGCACAGGAAGTCCTCACAGTGCTGGGCCTTAGGGAAGCCAGTCGTGCAGGGACGGAGCCATTACTGGGCAGGGACTGCTGCAGGGGCCAAGGAGGGCACGGCCGGTCCTTGGGCACGAGGACAATGCCCTTTGGGACCTGCTCTAGGAGGGCTGGTGAAAGGCCTGGCTCTTGTCCTGAGTGAGTGATTCGTTTTCCCCTGGCCCATGTATCTCGGTTCTGAGACTGATGGGAGTCAGTTGTATGCTTCTCATTCCCATATTCATGTCCATAATTGTTTAAAACTTCACATGAATCAACTTGTGTTATTTTGAGAGTTCTGATAAGGGCCACCTGTGGAAAAGAGGAAGCCTGCTTCACAGCCGTGGCTGCTGCTCTCTGTTTAGGTGGCCTGGGTCTTTCTGCACTTGTGCCGTGCATGCCTGTCCTTCCTGGGGCCAGCCCTCCACTAGTGCCTATGTCCGTCCCTTCCAGAGCCATGACCTGCAAGGAGCTATGTCTCCTGGTCTTGCAGGTCTCGGCCCTCCTAGAAGGGAGCCCATCAGTCATCCAAGTGAGGGGGGGCTTGGACTAAGGGAGGCAGTGGCAGGCGGGTGGCTGTGGTGTGATGGGAAGCTCTCATTTTCTGGATACATTTCAAAGGGGAAGTGAGCTGGAGTTGCCAGTGGGTTGGCAGGAAGGGAAGAGTGGATGATGCTGAAGCCTTCGGTCTGAGCAGCTGACCTTGAGATGAAGCGCAGGGGAGGCAGGCTTGGGATGTGTTGGAGTTCCCTTGCAGGCAGACTAGGCTCTAGGGCCAGCAGACTTCCAGGTGCAGAGGGGTAAAGGTGCTCAGGGAAGCAGCTGGAATCAGGATGTACATTTGGGATGACCATCCACACGTGGTCTTTAAGCCATGAGACTGACTTGGGTCATCTGGGCAGTGAGGCAGAAAACGCCCCTTTGTATTTGAAGAAATGAGGGAGAACCAGCTGAGGAGCCGGAGGTGGACAAGCTTTGAGAGGAGGAGGAGGCGGGTGGGAGGAGGAGTGTCCTGACATTGTCACAGGAGCCCTGGCTGGCCCTTGTTATATCCTTACCCCTCCCCCACCACCACCACCGGCATCTGGCGTGGGCTTCTGAAAATGTAACAGAATCGTGGGACTCCCTGACTCCCTGTCCTCCCCTGACTCCCTGTCCTCCTCTGACTCCTGTCCCATTCACAGCCAGGTCCTGCGTCCTCTATGTGCCCTCCCAGGCTGCCATCTGTTACTGGGCCAGCCCCCTTCCCTCCCTCAGCTCCCTGCTCACACCCAGAAGAAAGAGGGCTCTTCCCACCAGGCTTGTCAGGGGGCCCTTTGTTATTGATATGCCTGCTCCATTTCAGAAGTCCAAACAGTTTCCGAGTGGGCCCTGCTGTGGTCCACGTATGCCCACTAAGCAGTGGTGTGTCCTTCAGCCTGGCAGGGCCTCTGGGTGCTCCAGTGAGGTGTGCACAGCGGTGCTTGAAAACTCGGGTGCAGCATGAACATTTGCGCTGACGTTAGAAATAAGAAAGCAAGTGTTAAGTGCTAGAAAATGGGGAAGCCGCCCTAATTAAATGACTCAGGAAAGTGGAACCTGTGAAGAGTAGTGTGTGGAGAAGAAGCAGGGTGCCTTCCTGCCCAGCCTTGGTGCCTCCGTGTGGAGAGGGCTGCGGGTGTTCGAGCTTGTCTTCAGTGGGCTACATGTTGGCATTGGTGTCACAGGATTCCTCTCTGGTGTCTTCCAGATGGAGTCATCCCTTATCTGCCAGGCACGTGTCCCAGACCCCATGGAGGTCTGACACCACAGAGACCAGCTCCTGTGTATCCTGTGTTCTTCCCTATATATATGTACCTGTGGCAGAGTGTAATTTATAAATGAGACACAGGAGGAGATTACAGTCATTAGTAGTAAAGTGGGACAATTACAACATAACCATACTATAGAAAAAGCTCTGTGAATGTGGTCTCTCTGTCACGATAGCTCATCCCGTACTCGCCTTCTCACCTAAAGGGAGCATGGGGGTTCTCTGAGGCTTGTCCAAATCGCCAGCATCACTGCTCTTGCACTTTGGGGCCATTATGAAGTAAGTCAGGGTGACGCGAACACAAGCCACCGAGACGCCTACTAGTGACTAAGGGCAGGGAGTGTCTGCAGCGTGGGGACACTGGACAAAGGATCCACATCCCTGGAGAGAGAGCTGGACAGCACAAGATTTCATTATGCTACTCAGAATGGTGCGTAAAGTTTATGAATTGTTTCTGGAATTTTCACTTAATGTTTTCGGACTGCCACTGATGGTGAGTAACTGAGCCGCAGTGACAGGCAGTGCTGTGCAGGCTCTGTTAAGGCTGGGACTATTCCAGAGCATCTGTGGGGAGGTCTCAGCACTGAGCAGGCTAAAGGTGGGGTCCTCCTGGAAAGGAATCAGCTTAACTTGGAGCCTCCCAGTGTACTTGCCTACAGCGTCCCCCTTTGGGGGACAGTGATTGACATCTTGCAGAGCGAGCATGAGAGACACTGTTGGGGAGATTGTCCGCCATCCTGTCCCCAGCTGTACATAGGTGGCTGTTGTATTTGTATGGGAGGCGGTATAAACGCTGTGGATCCAGCTGGGGTTCACAGTTGGTTTCTGCCTCTCGTGACATTGGACACAGTACTTGCTTTCTCTGTGCCTCAGTTTCCTCATTTGTAACGTAGGGACAAAAGTCTTGATTTGATAGAATTGTGGTGACACTTAAGTGACATGGCTCATACGGAGTTTAGTGCCGCCTGTTCCAAAGGTGGAGGCTGGTGCCGCCGTTCTGCCTTCGTCACAGGCCTGGCACTCTCCGTTCTGTAGAGACCCTGGTGTGTGGCCGCCTTGTCCTCTCCGATTTGCCATGAGAAAGTCGATGTGCTTGGCTATGGACACATGCAGTCCTAGTCTGACTACACCTTGGTTTCCCTGTTGCCCCACTCGCCCCTCAGGTCCCCGCGCCTGCTTCTCACTGCCGTGTGTCAGGAGAGCAGCTCCTTGAGGTCATGGCGGTGAGGTCACTGTGACATGCATTGCCCACGTCCCCCAGGTGTGTGAGTAGCTAGTCTGCAATAGAGAAGATGGGGATTAGGGACCAGCTCGTGTCTTTTTATGCTGTTAGTCGCCTGTTGTTATTAATGGTCCCCTGTCCCCGTGGGCGTTTTGAATGTGCATGTCACACTCACGCGGTCATCTTTCCCTTGGCTTAGATAACATCCCCGAGGACCTCAGGGACCCCTTTTACATCGACCAGTATGAGCAGGAGCACATCAAACCACCTGTCATCAAGCTCCTGCTGTCCAGCGAGCTGTACTGCCGCGTCTGCAGCCTCATCCTGAAGGGGGACCAGGCGGCCGCCATACAGGGACACCAGTCAGTCATCCAGGCCCTGTCCCGGAAAGGGATTTATGTGATGGAGAGCGATGACACCCCCGTGACGGATCCCGACCTCAGCCAGGCACCCATAAAGATGGTGAGTGGCCTGGCACCACCCCTTGCTCCCCACCCCACCCAGTGCGTCCTGTGCATTTCTGGAGGTAGGTGACAGCCCCTGGTGCCATGGGCACTTGTGTGGTGCACCACCTGTTGTGTCACCAGCAGTCCCTCTGCAGCCAAGCTTTCAGATGAGGCAGAGTGTTCCCAAAACATCAGGTGCATGACAGTGCACAGGAGTGTGCAGCAGCTGGCTGAGGTCTGAGTGCATGGCAGTACCTGTGTCACATGTGGCTAAGTGCTTGTTCTGGGTGAGTCACGGGCAAGAGCAGCTCCTCTTGGCTGTCTCAAGGGGGGGCTCAGAGATGTGTGGAGGTGAGCACCATGCAGACTTTGGGATATATAGTTGTTGGGCTCATTCTGTTCGATTGTTTCATGTGTATGTTGTATTTTTGTGCCAAATAAAGAAATAGATGCCTGTTTCTCCCCTAAGCAGCCCCTCCCCGTCTTTCTCTGAAAGCCAAATCACCGATGTGAGTTTTCCAAACCATTGTCGGTCTGAGTGGTTGTGGGTGCCATCTGCATTGCCTTGGTTTAGGCCATTCACTGGCATTTTAGGTTCTGTGGTTTTTTTACTCTTGGACTTTGTGACTGACATGTTGTGGGTCAGGAGCATGTTCCCCAGGTTCTGGGAAGAAACGGCGCAAAGGCCGCCTGTGATTTTAGTGCCCAGAGCTCCTGATGGTGCCCAGGGACCTGTTGGTGGTCGTGCGGCCTCAGACACATCTCTTCGCCCTCTGTACCTTTACCCACAGCCCTGAAGTTAGGACCCCCACACCCAGGGCTGTCAGGGAGATGAAGCAGGGAGACACCAGGCTGCTGACCTGAGGAGGGCGGCGAGCAGATAGGCCTCTCTGTCTCCTTACATGGAGAAAAAAGGAACAGGTTCTGGCAGAGTTTTGAGTCTGAGCAGGGTCTGTCGAGCCTCGTGGGAGAGGCAGGTGGCACCTCTTAACTGCTGCCTCGGCTTGCAGAGTGCCCACATGGCGATGGTGGACGCCCTCATGATGGCCTACACCGTGGAGATGATCAGCATCGAGAAGGTGGTGGCCAGTGTCAAACGCTTCTCGACATTCAGTGCCTCGAAGGAGCTTCCATACGACCTTGAGGATGCCATGGTGTTCTGGGTCAACAAGGTGAGTGCACTGGGTGGCTGTTCTTCATGTGTGATGCCGAGGCCCAGGCCCGAGCAGGGGCCACCATGGTTTATCTGTCCCCAGAAATGCCTGCTGTCATCAGAACAGACAGGTGTCCCTCCCAAGCTCAGGAGGAGGGGGCGTGGGTAGAGCTAGTGAGTTTATGGTAGAAAATGCAGACATGTTTATAGTCCAGATTGATGCATTCCTTTTTATCTTAAGCACTTCTGTGCACTGAAGAGGTGGCCCATTTTAGATGACATTTTGATTAAGAGAAAAATGTCTTATGTCTTATTAAACGCTGTTTTTTCCTTCTATACTTAGAAACTTACAATGTAAAAGTCAGTGGCCATGGGATTTGTCGAGAGCATGGCCCAGCCAGACCAAGTGTGCATGGTGGCTCCCTGGGACAAGCCAGGCCATGTCAGGGACACGGGCAACTACCTGGATGAGGGCTTGGGGACTCAAGTGGATGAGCAGGCTGACTTCTGAGTCCTGCTGTGTACTCGGAAGTTGGCAGTGCCCATAGGTCGCCCCTTGGTGGTGGGCACCAGCCTTCCTCGTCCCCGGCTTGCACGACACCATACATGTGGGAAGTGCCCACAGTGCTTCATTAAAAATGGTTCTCAGGACTGTGCACTCTTCCACAGCAGACTGAGCCTTGGGTTACGTTTCTGCAATCCTAGCATGAGCTTCCCGTGGCCAGAGTTCAAGTTTTAACTTTTCTTTTTTCTTTCACAACTTTTATTTTTTCCCCCTTATAAAAGAAATTGCTTATTACAGAAAATTTAGAAAACATGGATGAGCTAACAGAACAAAATGTAAATTATGCATAAGCTTACCACCTATAAACACAGTATTTGATATAAATTCGCATCATTTTTATTTATTTGGGTGTAATATGTAGATCCAGGCATTCGATTGTAAGCTGAGGTTTGCCTTGGGTGAGTGCGGTGAGGGCACTCCCTCAGTTGGTCTGGGAGGGTCCCGCCTACCATTACTCCCACATGTTTCTGGTGGGCAGAGGTTTCAGTTTAGCTGAGGTTCATTTTTTAAAGGCTTTTGATTGGTTTTTGCCAAAGTTCTGACGATAAAGATTGTACTGTTTTTCTCGCACTGTTAGTTCATGGGGGTGCCTTTTTTGCAATTCTTCCCATATGTTGGATATTATTTTAAAATACTTGTCAATTTGAAAGGTGAAAGTAGCCTCTTATTTATTCTTTCACCAGTAAAATTGAAGTTTAAGAAATAGAGTAAATACAGTATGAAGATTCCTCAAAAAATTAAAAATAGAGCTGCCATACGAGTCAGCTATTCCACTTCTGGTATTCATCTGAAAAAACAAACACACTAATTCGAAAAGACATATGCACCCCTATATTCACTGCAGCATTGTTTACAACAGCCAAGATATGGAAGCAACCTAAGTGTCCATCAGTAGACCAGTGGATGAGAAAGCTGTGGGACAGCCCTGGTTGGGTGGCTCAGTGGTTGGGCGTCATCCCATGCACTGAAAGGTCACTGGTTTGATTCCTAGTCAGGGCATATGCCCAGGGTTTAGGCTCGATCCCTAAGGGGAGCGTGCAGGAGGCAGCTGATCAATGTTTTGCTCTCACATCGATGTCTCTCTCTCCCTTTCCCTTCTCTTTCTTTGGGGGGGGGGACAGTAAAACACCTTTTTTAATAAAGGTACAGATATGCAGTGGAGTACTACTCAGCCATGAAAAAGAATGAAATCTCGATTTGCAATACTATGGATGGACCTCATGCTTAGTGAAATAGAAAGACAGGTACATATGAGTTCACTGACGTGGAATCTGAAAAAAAAAAGTGAACAAAGAAAGCAGAATCTGTGCACAGCCTCCATGCGCAGGTAGATATTCATCTCTGTCCATGAATACTTAGAAGTGTAGTAGCTGGGTCATGTGAAAAGCACTTAACTTCAGAAGACCCTCCCAAAATACTCCCCAAAGGGATCGCACCATTTTGAGCTCCCCCAATGAGAGGAAAGAATTCCGGTGACCCCTTTGGCAGCACCATGGGTCTGGTCTTCACTGAGCCCTTTGGGTGGCCGTGTGGAGGAATCTATATGGTTGAATTAGCATTTCCCTAGCGACTGGGGACGTTTGTGTAGGTTCTCTTATTAGGTGTTTGTTCAGATGTTTTCCCCAACTTTTAATGAGGTTGTTTGTCTTAACGAGCTGCAAGAATTTTTATATATACACACATATATGTATGTATTTACGAATCAAGAGCTTTCTTTGATATATGTTCTTGCAACATATTTTTTATTGTTTTGGTGTCAGGGTCATGCTGGCCTCAGAAAATGAGTTGGGAAATATTCCCCCCCTCAATTTCGTGAAGTAGTTTGTGTGTGATGAGTATTATTTTGTTCTTATGAATCTTTGATGGAATCACGGTCTGGAGTTTTCTTGGGAAGGTTTTGGTTATGAACTTAGTCTCTTTAGTACACACATAAGGTACTTAGGTTTTCTACATAATTTCGTGTCAGTTTGCTTACCTGTGACATCAGGGATCTGTCAGCTTTCTTTAAGTGCTTGAATTTATTCGCATAAAGTTCAAGTGTTTCCCTTACTGTCCTGTTCGTGTGCGTGGGGTCCAGAGTGATGTCCCACTGTTTTCTGCTTTTGGTTTTTATTGATTTCTTCAGTTGTGTTCTGTTTAATTCCCCCTCTTATTTTTTTTTCTGCTTAGTTTGGATTTAATGTGCTCTCCTTTCCAGTTTGTTAAGGTAGGAAGTTAGTTTTAAGCCTTTCTTCATTTCCACTGTAAACACAGCCGCTCATCCCTTGGCTGCACTAGCCCGTTTGTGTATGTTGTGGTTTCCATCATTTTCCTTAGAATGTTCTGTTTCATTTGCAGAGTCTTGTTTTATCAATCGGTTCTCTAGGCGTTTGTAGTTCAGTTCCCAAATAGTTGGGGGGGTTGGATAGTGCTAAGTACACTTTAAACTCTTAAAAATTACTATGCGTCTTAAAGAATTTTTTTTTTAAATATATCTTTATTGATGTCAGAGAGAGGAAAGGAGAGGGAGAGAGAGATAGAAACATCAATGATGAGAGAGTCATTGATCGAGCCCACAACCCGGGCATGTGCCCTGACTGGGAATCGAATCCCAATCTCCTGGATCCTAGGTCGATGCTCAACTGCTGAGCCACGCCTGGCCGGGCTTAAAGAATTTTTAAAAAATCAATCAATATTTACCATGTTAGAAAGTAAAAACAAGAAAGTTTAAAAATATTTGCTAATTCACTAAAAAAAACCAGTAAAGTAATTTCATGTTAATATAAATAATGTATTTTTTAATGAAAATAACTATTTTCCAAAATAAAAAAAAGTGGCACTGTTTTGCATTGTGAAGCCTGTCCCCTACCTGGTCCCTGAAAGGCGCAGTCCTCTTACCTGCGCCTCATTTAGTCTGTTACAGTTTGTTTATTGAAGTGTGTGAAGAAAGCCTGGCTCCACGTGGATATGGAGTTAATTTGGAAGAGGGACAAGTATTTACATAATCTTTTCAGATAATTATGCACATCTTTTTTTGATTCTAAACTAAAACCTGACAAGTGGTAGTTTCTTGAAGGTTAATTGCAATTTGAAGCCATTGTCAGTGAACTTTTTAAAAAATTGAGATATAATTCACATGCTGTAAAATTTACTATTTTAAGTGCACATTTCATCAGTTTTTAGTATATTCACCAGGTAGTACAGCTGTCACCACTAATTCCACCCTGTTTATCACACCCCTTTGTCCCCATGAATCTTCTGTCCACCCCTCTGGATGTGCCTGCCTGGACACTTCACGTCCATTTTGTCACACCTGGCCTTCCGTGTCTGACTTCCCCCACTCAGTGTCCTGTTTCTGCTCGGCTCTGCGTGTAGCCCATCATACCTCAGCCTCTTCATGGTGAGGCTGCTCTGTGTGTGCAGAGACTGTTCTGTTCATTCCTCCCTCCGCTGATGCATGTCCCTGTGTGCACTTTCTGGCTCTCGTGAACAGCTGTGAACATTCGGGTACATGTTTTTGTGTGGGTGTGTTTTGCTTTTTCTTGGGTGGATACCTCGGGGTAGAATTGCTGGGTCATGTGGATCCTCTCTGTTTAAATTTTTGAAGACCTGGCAGACTTTTCCACAGTGGTGGTACCTTTTACTTTGCCACCAGCAATACCTGAGGTTTCCAGTTTGCCACGTCCTTGCTAACACTGATTTTCTGATTTTTCAGTGCTAGCCGTTCTGGAGGGTGTGAGGGGTCTCATTGTGGTTTAGATGTGGTGACTGATGACCAAAGCTTCTTTCCATGCACTGTTGGCAATTTGTAGCTCTTTGCAGAAATGTCTGTTTAGATCTTTTGCCCATTTGAAAAATAGGATCATTTGTGTTTTATTGTTGTAAGAATTCTTTCATATATTCTAATACTACATAAGTGAATTTTTAAAAAATATTTTTTTATTGATTTTTAGAGAGAGAGGAAGGGAGGGGGAGAGAGAGAAACATCAATGTGAGAGAAAAACATCAATCGGCTGCCTCCTGTACACACCCCGACCAGGGATCAAACCCGCAACCTGGGCATGAGCCCTGACCAGGAATCAAACCAGGGACCTTTCCGTGCATGGGACAGCGCTCAGGCAACTGAGCCACGCCAGCCAGGGCTGGGTGAATTTTTTGTATTCTGTTATATGAAAGTCTGTTTCTCTTTCTTGCCTTCGCCCTGGCCCTTTTACTCACCCATGGTTTTGTAGCGGTAATTTGGGAAATTGTTTCACTGAGTTTTGTAGATTTCACCAGGGTTGTTTCCTCTAATGACACAGTATCAAAAGTCACATTCATGAATATCACCAATCTAATCGGAAAGTTCTTTCCAGATTAGGAAGCCATCTAGGTTAATTTTCCCCCAAAACTTTTTATTTCCTACATTTTTTTTATGAAAAAAATTTTAAGCATGCAGGAAAGTTGAAAGAGTTATACAGAGAACAACCATATGCCCACCACCTAGACTTTACAACTAACATCTTACGGTACTTGCTCTATCACTTATCCACCTGCTGATACATGTTTTAATTCATTTATTTTTAATTTTATTTATATTGATTTTTCTTCTGTTTTTCTTTTAAAACAAATTTCCTACCTTCTTAATTTGAATCACATGAGTTGTCTATATTCTTGTTTAATAATAAAAGATTCAGTTCTGTGCCTTTTCATCAGATAACTCCGACCATGACCCTATAGGCATCGATGAGTATCTTTCTCCATGGTATTATTTTATAATTGCAATTTCTATTTTATTTTTGACTTAATAATTCCAGGAGAGAGTATTTTAATTTCTACAAAGTGGTATTAACTGTTTAAGGAGTGTGCAGTGTGCTTATGACTCAGGTTTATTTAGTGTTACTCTGTAGTCAGGGAACCTATGAGCCAGCCTCTGGCTCCTCAGTGAGGGTCTCCGCCAACTGTCTCATCAGCACCTCTGTCGATGGGATGAGGACCGGCGCCATGTGCACACCCTGGAAGTGAGGTGGCAGCCCCGTGCGGCGTTTGGGGCGTCTTGGTTCTCTGCGCAGCCACAGGTCACAAGGAGTCCTAGGTCTCTGCGTGTGTGTAACTGTCTAGGTACCTGCTTCTCGGAGGCAGAGTCAGACAGTGGGGCTGGTGCCCCGGGGGGATACGGAGACCAGCGCTGGAGGCAGGCGCCTTGTTAATACCTTTTTCTTCCCCTTTAGGTGAATCTTAAAATGAGAGAGATAACAGAGAAAGAAGGGAAGCTCAGACAGCAGCTGCTAGAGAGCCCAGCTCATCAGAAGGTAAAGGGCCATTGGACTTCTCTGTGGTGTGAGTGTTGCTCCTGTCCTGGAGGGTCAGCCATGTTCACCACTGTCACTTTCACCTTTCCTCACAAGACAGGAAGGTCTCCTGGCCCCGGCAGGCTGGCCCTGAGCACCTTGGTGGCAGTGGGCACACAGCATGCACCCTCTCACCCTGGCAGGGGTGTCCTGTGTGTAACCTGGGGGTGAAGGGGACGTTGGGAGGTATGAGGTTCCAGGAGTTGGCTTCTACAAGTCAGCAAGTGAGGAGGATGTTGCCAGCGGCACCTTGCAGACCTCTGCACTGCCTACGAGGTCCTGGGAGGCTAGCTTTGTGCCCTAAAGCCCCGCATGGGGTTATGGCAGGGCCCTGTGACACAGTTGACGAAATGACGCAGGTGGTGTGGGTTCGTTCTGGTCATTTCTGTTCTTCCCTGATACTGTTTTTTGGCCAAGTACGTGTATGACTGAATCCACATCCCCTAAACCCATGGCGATGTGGCCCAGCGTGTGTGCGGTCTGCCGGCATCCCCTTCAGCTGTAGGGATGTGTAGGCACCACATGCGTGACTACTTTTGTTCCTCCTGTCCTTGGACAAGACAGATGACGCACTGTGCCCCTCCCGAGGAGCACTTGGCATCTGTTGTCTTTGGTTCCCAGCCTGTACCGTGTTTCCGGAGTTTTCTTTGCTCCCCCAGAGACTGGTGGTGTAAGAGTGCCTGTAACTTTCGATATGGGGTCACGGGCACGGGTCCCTTCGTGTACACCTGTGTATGATGTCTGTCCACATGTGGGCCCGGCCCGCTGACCCTCCTCTCCTGCCTTCTTCCTCCTGCTTCCCGAGCAGTCTCCCTCCAAGTGGTACTGGAAGTTGGTGCCCGTAAGTGGACCCCTGCACCGCTGCCATCAGACGCCATCCTGTGCAGTCACCCGCTTCCATCCCAGTTGCCCGCACTGCCGTTTCCCTGTTTGAGTGTCCTGGTGCCGCACTTGGTTCAGTGTGGGCGGGGCCTGAGTCTGGGCTGAGGGGGTTCATTTTCCATGCTGTGGGCGCTTGGAGTTCCGAGGCGTGTCTCATAGGCAGTGCACAGTTAGGTGTTGCCAGTTTCCAAGGTGACAGACAGTGCTCTGCATTTGCTCTTGGACACTAGTCACTCTCTGTGATGAAAGTGGATGTAAAGACAGGGCCTGTTCTCTCTTGAGGGCTGATAAACCCCGAGCAACTCTTCTGTTAATCCTCACCTGGTCCGTTGATTTACTTTTATTTTTTTAATTTTTTTTTAGCGAGAGTGGAAGGGAGGGAGGGGGAGAGGAGGGAGAGAGAGAAACATCGATGCGAGAGAGACACATCAACTGGTTGCCTCCCGCACATGCCCCTACCGAGGCCGGGGTTTGAACCTGCAACCCAGGTACATGCCAGAATAGAATCCTACGCTCTGACCACTGAGCCACACCAGCCAGGGAATGAGAGACTTTGTTTTGTCCTTTCTGATGTGACTGTCCCTAATGGTGACATGCCATGTCTTAATGCCTTTAGCATGGACCATCTGGTGTTAAAGGTGACCACCAGGTAAAGGCCCTTCTGCTGCCTGCCCTGGTGGGGGAGGCTACCCTTCCTTCCCAGGCTGGGATTTCTGGAATCCCAGTAGCTTGAAGTGAATCCCCATGACGAAAGTGAAAGGGGTGGTTTGGCCCCAGTCCTGGCTGTGCTCCTGTGGCGCCACCTGCAGGGGAGGAGTGGGGCCTGCAAAAGGGAGGTTTTGGAACAGGGGCCTTCTTGCAGACCTTAGTTAATGTCTGCAAAACAGCCCAGAATTCTGCCACCCAGGCGGGGCCCTAGGTACAAGCTGGCAGGTGGGTCCCTGTGAGCAGTGGTCTGGTTTGCTTCATAGCTGATAATTTTGGTCTTTGAGATATATTAATAACAAAGAAGAAAGCGTTTTATGAATGTTTACATCTTTTAATTTTTTGAATCCTGAAAACCAAAGAGCAAAATGTCACAACAGTTATGTGGTTTAGTGAGAATGAGTAGAAAATTCAGCTGTCCTATAGGAAGGAGGTCTCAGAGGAGAGTGTTTCAGACACTGAGCAGTGAGACTCAGAGCATGGCCCTTCTAGTTCCTCGTAGGATTGATACCCACGCTGTCGGACCACAGTGGTCAGGGCAGCAGGTTCCGAGGTTTCGCCTCGTCGCCCATGGCCTAGAGGTTTAACAGACCTTTCTGGCAGGTGGTTAGCTGCACTGATGTTTTCCCTGGTTCTAAGTTCACTCCATCCATCTTCAGTTGAGAAACCATTTGCTTCACTGCATGCTGTGGTTGGTCACTGTGTGTGCTGTTTGTCCGTGTGGGAGCTGGCCTGGCGCATGCCCTCGTGTGTCTGCATGCTGGAGCCAGGACCCGCTGTGTCAGCCCCTGCTGCGGCCCGAGAAACAAGTTAAAGTCTGAGGCGGAGTAGACCTAGTGACACGAAGGAAGCCTTGGTCCTGATTTCAAAAGGATGTGACAGATGTTTTATACCCATTGTCAGTATGATGATTCTACACCATAGGCTTATTAATAGAGACCCCCTTGAAACCCTTCATTGTGAGAGACCTTTTTCTCGGGTTGACCTCCCCTGCGTAACTGAGAAGGCCTGGCCCTCAGCAGATTGCCAGCCTCCTCTCCTGGACAAGTGTGGCTGTGAGACGTGCCCTAATATAATGCTCTATTGTGAATATTAATGCAGAAAACAGGGGACAGCAGGTTGTGGGGGACAGGTGCCCCCCTCCCCATGGCCTGGTCTGCACTCCTCACCTGCCCCTTGGTGATGGGGGCTTTGGGGCACATGGCTTCCCCTGAGGGTGAGGGGCACTTGTTCTATAGGGCACCCTGCACACTGAGCCCTCCGTCTCCTGCTGCCTGGCAGCACTTCTTGACGCAGCGCACACAGTTTTGTCTGACCTGGTTTCAGAAATTTCTCAAGCCGAATATTAATGCCATTTTGTATTTTCCTAATGCCGGACAAGGTGAACGCTGCTAGTACTGAAAAAAGGAACAGTAGCTGGGGTTTCCACGCGATAGGATGTTCACAGTTAACTTGTTTCTCATCTGCTGTGGTAGCGGCTCTGGGCAGTGTAGACGTGCCTTCCTCCTCCTGTCTGTGCCTTGGCACTTCAGGGTGAGATGGCCCCGTCGTTAGCAATCGAGTACTGTCACCAGTGTAGCCGTGAGCTCAGCTCTTGGACCTTGACAGGCAGGTTCCAGGCAGAAGTCCTCCCAACATTTGGAGCTTTTCCCTGCAATCACCGTGTTCTGAGCATTGTCCAGCAGCATCATGCTAACTCGATGAGCAGTCTGCCTGGGACGTGGGAGTAGTGAGGGCACCTCATGTGTAGAGATCGTTCTCTCTTTGTTGACCACAGGTGCGCTACCGCCGAGAGCACCTGTCCACGAGGCAGCCGCCCTACTTCCCGCTGCTGGAGGATCTGATGAGAGATGGCAGTGATGGGGCCGCGCTCCTGGCCGTGGTCCACTACTACTGCCCCGAGCAGATGAAACTGGATGGTGAGTGCAGAACCCCCCCCCCGAGCACACCTTAGAGGCTCAGGAGCACCTGAGCACACTGAACCCAATGTTTGACAGCCGAGAGGACCTTGCCTCTGCGTCCTCAGTGCCTCCTGGGGTGGGAGCGTGTGTGGAAATGTTTGGGGATGGTGCCCATACCTGAGCTGCCTCTTATCTGGAGGGAAATCAGATGGTGAAAACCAGGGTGAGAGTGAAGTCACTGGGGCTGGCCTCAGGCCTCAGCATGGTTAGGGTCTCGTCAGTCCTGCTGCAGGGATTTGAAACAACTGGGACCCAGTGTAGGTGGAGATCAAGTTCAGAGTGAGTCTGGCCCTAGCTGGTTAGGCTCAGTGGTCAAAGCGTCGGCCAGCGGACTGAAGGGTCCTGGGTTCGATTCCAGCAAAGGGCACCTGCTTCGGTTGCAGGCTCACTCTCTGGCCCTGGTCTGGGTGTGTGCAGGAGGCAACCAATCAATGTGTCTCTCTCATATCGATGTTTCTCTCTCTTTCTCTGTTTCCCTCTCTCTCCTTTCCATTCTCTCTGAAAAGCAATGGAAAAAATACCCTCGGGTGAGGGTTAAAAGAAAAAGTGAGTCTGGGCACAGACCGGGACACATGACCCTCTGTGCTCATCAGTGATACCGGGCGTCCCTGCCAGGCATCCCTGCCAGGTGCCCACAGCCTGACAGTGGGAGGGAGAGGTGAGGGACGCCGTGAACAGCACTGCAGAGACGTCTACACAGGGCCAGAGGAGCAGGAATCCTGACCAGGTTCTGCTAAGCACCCTTCTCTCTGCGGGAGGAAGGCGCAAGGCCAAGAGAGTCCCCAGCACGGCCACGGGAGTTGGCTGATGGCCCCCAGGACACCTGTGCTGGGATTTGCTGGTTGAGGGCCTGGCATCTACACAGCAACCAAAAACTGGAAATTGTCCTGCCCCCGATGCTAGCAGCCAACTGTCCCCCACCCATGTGACTGAGGGAGACGCCTGCTCTGCACAGTCTCTGAATTTTGTGATTAGTCGTATTTTTATATCATTCTGTGGGCAGGCCTGGCATTTCTCATTTTATGCCCCCCACCCCATCACGAGGTAACTTCTGCAGAGGGTCCTGATGGTTAAATGCTAACCAGCTTATGCGTCTCCTTTTATAAACTGAACCCTGTTACTGTCCATTTTGGAAGCCCAGTCTTAAGATCCCGAGTAATTTCTGTTATGCTTTTTAGATGTTAACAGTTCAGGTCAGATCCTGGAGATTTCTCAGGTCTTCCTACTTGTAATACTGTGATATTTAAACCTCTTAATGTCGTAACCTTATAAATATCAGCACTGCCTTCGTATACTTATGAAGCAGAACGTCTTTGTAATTGTGCTTTTCTTTTTATCTATTAGATATATGTTTGAAGGAGGTAACATCGATGGCTGACAGTCTGTATAACATTCGGCTTCTGAGGGAGTTCTCGAATGAATACCTTAACAGATGCTTTTACCTCACCTTAGAAGACATGCTGTATGCTCCCTTAGTGCTGAAGGTAACCATGGATTACGTAACACGCACTTGTCCATTCGTTTGTTTTTTGTTACTCCTCACCTGAGGATATTTTTTCCATTGATTTTTTTAGAAAGTGGGAGGAAGGGGGGAAGAGAGGGAAAGAAAGAAGCATTGATGTGAGAGAGACACATTGACTGGTTGCCTCCTGTAATCCAGGTATGTGCCTTTGGCTGTAATCGAACCCTGGACCCTTCAGTCCTCAGGCCGACGCTCTAACGTCTGAGAAAAACTGGCTAGTCCTGAAACACATTTTTAAAACCATGTGTGAATAAGCTGCTTATCATGTCCTGGGTTTTTTTCTTGTAGCCGAACGTTATGGTTTTTATTGCTGAACTCTTCTGGTGGTTTGAGAATGTCAGACCAGACTTTGTTCAACCCAGGGATGTTCAGGAGCTGAAAGATGGTGAGTGACGACTGGTCAGCGGATAGCTGTTTCCTCTGAGAGAGTTTCAGTACTCAGAGGTGTCCCTAATCTCCTCCTAAGTTTTTGTACAACAATGGTGTCTGAATGTAAATGGCTTCATTTGGGAGTAGAGCCTGTGCCCTATCTGGTGTCCTCCCACGTGGTCCTCGCACTGGGCAGCTGCACCCATCCTTGTCCCAGAACCAGAGCCTGAGAGGCGCGGGATTCTGAGGAGCTTCCTCAATGAGAGGTGCAGCTGTGCTCAGTTTGCCCACTTGCAAGGTTGTACGTTTGCCCGACAACAAGGCAGGACATGCCCATGTTCACCTGAGTAGGATAACCTGCCAGCCTTGAGACTCTGAAGCTTCTGGGAGGTGACGTGGGAGAGTGTGTTCCTGTCCTGTGGTTTCTTTTAAAGAGTATCAAGGTATTGGCCACAAAAGGAAAAGTTGATGAAAACTGAGCCACGATAAAGTAAGAACTGTCCACGGGGAAGATCCTTGCTGGCCGTCAGTAGGCAGCTGCTGTCTGGAATGTGTAGAAAGCTTCCTCAGCAGCAAGCGGGAGAAAACCCACAGTGAGGTGCTCAGGAGACTGGGCCTTAATCGGGTACTTTATGAAAGTGGCTTCATGTGCCCACTGCTCACCCCCTCAGTAGACCCGACAAGCCCTGTGAGACCCCACCAGACTGGCAGAGGGACAGCTGAGCACTGCCGGGTTCAGCTGTGCCCAGGAGTATTCCCCACCCTGTCCCCAGCTCAGGCACCTCGGCATCCCCCTCGCTCAAAGGGCCAGTAGCCTGTTCTGACTCCAAGTCCAGCCCTTCCCAGCGCCCATAAGTGTCCCAGGAGGTGGTTCTCCGTACCCGCTCACCTCTCTGCCTCAGACCTCACTGCTTTCCCAGGAGCCTCTGACTCCCTCCCTCCTGGGAAACAGCCTTGGAGATGGGTTCCTGTTCCAGGCTGGAGCTGCAGTGGCCACCAGGGTGGTTGGTCCGCTGGAGGCTGCTGTGGGTGGTCAGAGACACCAGCCAGTCTCACCACTTCTTGTTCTGGTCTGTGCTGTGTCTTTAAATTTTGGTGAGGTATTTGCAGTCATCAAGAATATGTTGGTTGAACCTGAAACCAGTTTTTTTGGAGAAGCTTGGTTTTAAGTAGAAGTAATGCTATTTTTGGTGCTTATAAAGGCAGCAGGGTTTTCTAGATGCTTCTTGCTAATGTAACTAAATAATAACATTTCTATAAAATTTTTATTTCTGCAGCAAAAACTGTGTCACACCAAAAGAGCAGCCGGCCCCCTGTTCCTATTTCCAATGCCACCAAGCGCAGCTTCCTAGGTAGTCCTGCAGCGGCAAGCCCAGCTGAGCTGCAGCCCCCCACTCAGCTGCCGGCTGAGGGATGTCACAGGCACCACCTGCACCCGGAGGAGCCTGACCATCTGTAAGTCTGTCTGCTTTTGGAGTTAAGTCACTGTCCTGTTTCCCTTTCTTGTTACTTTTCATGAGAGGTGATAGGAAAACCACTCGAGTGTGTAGTGAAAGGTCTTCCCCTGCCCAGCATCTGACCCCGCCCCTCCCAGAGGCAGGCGGGAAATGGGAATGCACACTTGAGTTTGTATTTATTTATTTATTATGAATCCTCACCAGAGGATATTTTTTTTCCATTGATTTTCAGAGAGAGTAGAAGGGAGGGAGGTAGGGCAGAGAGAGAGGGAGAGAGAAACATTCTGAGAGAGACATCGATTGGTTGCCGCCCGCACGCACCCCAGTCAGAGGGTGGAGAACCTACAACCCAAGTATGTGCCCTTGACCGGGAATCAAACACACGACACTTTGGTCCACAGGCCAACACTCCAACCACTCAGCCAAAACAGCCAGGGCTACGCTTGCATTTTTTGCTGTTAAAGTTGGAAACTCATTTTATCACAGACTATGACCAGAAGTCTTATGTCCCCAGTTGCAGTTTTGGGTTATTTATCCTAAGTTTGAAGTTCTCAGTACTCTTGGTTCATTTTTTTTAGTAATTAATTTTCCCAAAGAATCGGTGAATTTCTCACAGATGGTATGAATTCATGGATGGTCTGTAGTTTCTTTTGTGTTTGTTTTTGAACTTGGATTACTAAACCACTGATTTTTCACTCTAAATTTAGGGGGAAGGGGGCTTCTGCCTTCAGCCCATCGCATCCCTTACTGCCCCTGAGGCAAAGACAGCAGAGGACGGTGCCAGGAGAGGACCCCCCGGGTAAGTGCTCCTTTTCCTCTTCCCTCTACGGCAGGCAGCTCACTAAAGATAAAACAGCAGTTCTCAAGGTGAAGCCCTCTCATCATGATGCCAGGTTTTGTTTAAGACTGTGGCAGAGTAGAGTCAGTGTGCATTGATGTGCAGTAGGACTTACTCTCTCAAGAGTGGGAATACCATTAAATCTGGTACATTGTGTGACGTATGCAGAAGGTCACTCTGTGTGCACCTAAGCAAGAGTGCACGTGTATTGATGGTCACTTAAAAGCTCTGACTATTTTGTTTCATGACCGGACAGATTACCATTGAGTTGAACGTTACTGTTGACACTGTTGAATGTTACAGTGTGTGATTATTGGCTCTCTGTGGACTGTGTCTTGATGCATTTCCATGAAAAATGGTTATTGTGCCGAAAGAGTTTCAAATAACATAAAATGGGTCTCTTACTACTGAGCACACAAACTGCTCTTCCACCCTCAGATCAGCGACACCGGTCCAGTTCCTTGACCCGAGTGGACGGGCAGCCACAGGGAGCAACAGTAGCGTGGCCAGAAAAGAAAAACAGGTGAGCCGTGTGGAATGTTCCTTAGTCTGATGGCAGTCTCCTGCCATGGCCCAGACCCCGGGACGCACCAAAACCTCAGGGGCAGAGTGGCGAGGGCGCCTTGACTGGTGATGTTGCAGCAGCTGAGAGTCAGCACCAGGGGTGAGGACCGCGCCAGGCAGCGCAGAGATCGGCAGACGTGTGAACAGTGCCTCTCTTCACATCTTAACTCTGGTTTCAGAAAATGTGTCCATTTTTCATGTAATGGGATTTTTACTGCAATTTTGATCGACTAAAAGTTTCACTTTAATTTCTAGTATGATAAATGTTGATTGGTAACGATAAATGTAAGTGAAAGCTTTTTGGAGTCTTCAGTGGTTTCTGAGGGTGTAAGGTGGTCCTGGGGGCTGAATGTCTGAGAACATGGAGCTAGCTCTAGCCGCCTTCACTCGGGGAGGGTTTTTCTAATTCTCCAAGTGAAAGTGTGTGATGTTCATAGTCTGTCTTCGTAACTGGTGCTGTCGTCACTTGCTTTTGGGGCCGCCTCTGGCATGACAGCGCGTGTCCAATGGCTCTTCCCTGTGTCACAGGCCTGTGTCTCAGCCAGCGCCCTTTGCTCTCCATCACGCTGCGAGCTGCGACGCAGACCCCGGCTCTGGCGACAGCATCAGCTTGGCCCGCTCCATCAGCAAGGACAGTTTGGCCTCCAATATCATCACCCTGACCCCCCAGAACCAGCCGCACCCTACCGCCCTGAGGGCCACTGGGAAAAGCCTCCTGAACAACGTCGACATCGAGGACGAAGAGCTTGTGGCCATCATCAGGACGGATGGGGCTCCCCATGGCAGTGCCCTGGGCCTAATGGCAAGCGCCAGGTCTCCCCAGAGACTGGCCAGCACCTTAGAAAGTAAGCCTGACAGTTTCTTCTTGGAGCCATTGGTGCCGGCCGTGCTCCGGCCTGCCAAGGAGAAGCAGGCAGTTGCCAAGGAGGATGAGTGCGGGGAAGGGAGGCCGAGGAGCTGCATGGCTAGGAGGCCCGGTGAGGGCCACCCACCTCTGGGAAGAAGGAAGGCTCCTGGTAGCCACGTCAGTCACGAGTTGAATAGGACTTTCACCCCGATCTCCAGCTCAGAGCTGTGCACGAAGGCAGGGCCGCAGGCCAGGGAAGCCAGCAGCGAGCCTCTGGCCAGCAGTAGTTTCGATCTGTTATCTCAGGGACAGCCTGCCGACGGCTTTTTTCTTCATGTGGGCCGAACCGATGACGATACTGAGGGCAGGCTCCATGTCAGCTGTGCAAGAAGCCCTTGCACCCATGACCCAGAGCCGTGGACTGTCCTGAGGCAGGACTCTGACTCAGACGTCGCCGACCTGGAGGAGGTCGAGCACGATTTCATCTGTGAGGACCACCCTGTGCTGATGGCACAGTATGTGGGTGAGGAGGAGTCGGCCAAGCTGCAGGAGGACATGAAGGTGAAGGAGCACGAGGACAAGGATGGCGCCAGTGGCCGCTCCAGCCCCTGCCTGAGCACCGTCTCCCAGGTCAGCAGCGTCTCCGTGGCCAGTGGGAGTACAAAAATGACCAGCTTCGCGGAAAGGAAGTTCCAGAGGCTCAACAGCTGTGAGACCAAGTCCAGTACAAGCAGCTCCCAGAAGACCACACCCGACGCCTCAGAGAGCTGCCCTGCCCCTTTGACCACATGGAAGCAGAAGAGAGAGCAGAGCCCCAACAGGCAGGGCAGGGACCATGCCAGCCTCCTGGCGTCCGAGCTGGTGCAGCTGCACATGCAGCTGGAGGAGAAGCGGAGGGCCATCGAGGCCCAGAAGAAAAAGATGGAGGCATTGTCTGCCCGCCAGCGCCTGAAGCTGGGGAAGGCGGCCTTCCTACACGTGGTCAAGAAGGGCAAGGCCGAAGCCGGCCCCCAGCCCCTGAGGCCGGAGCACAGTGAGGACTTCGATGGTGCCGTGTCCAAGACGGAAGGATTTCTGGTCAGAGAGCAAGGCAGGGAGGACATGAGTGCGTGTCAGGATGTCGACAAAGAGAACCTGGCATTCCTGCAGCAGCACAAGCAGAAGGACCCCACCGCCCTGCAGGAGCTGGAGAAGAGCAAAGCACTGTCCGCTGCCCTCATGGAGGTGGCTGGGGACGGGGCAGACATGGGCGAAGGTGACCTCTCCATTGAGAAGCTCAATGAGACCATCAGCACGCTGCAGCAGGCCATCCTGAAGATATCTCAGCAGCAGGAGCAGCTGCTCATGAAGTCCCCTGTGGCGCCAGCTCTGGGTTCCAGAAACAACGCCCAGGACCCGAAAGTCAAGGTGTCCATCCACTTTGCTGAGCCACTCTCTCCCCCTGGAGTGACCGGTCACCGCAAGCCTCCCCGTCTTGGGCAGGGTCGAAATTCCCGGTCGGGACGACCAGCCGAGCTGAAGGTTGCAAAGGACAGGCAGCAGGGTTCCCGCAGTAAGACCCCAACACCCAGCATGGAGGCCCTTCCGCATGGACGGCCTTTCCCGCCGCGGATGCCCTCCGACCTGGGCTGGGATGGCGTTGCAGACCCCGGGGCTGACCCTCACGAGAAGTGCTTCTTTGACAGTTACCGGCTCCATGACGAGAGTAACCAGCGGGCATTGGTCTTGTCTTCCCCCAAAGATGCAAACATCCTGTCAGAACAAATGAGCCTCAAAGAAGTTGATATCAGTGTGAAGGAGGCAGGGCTCAGTGCCCCGGCTGTCTCGGGGAAAGAGGACATCCCCACGGATGGGCCCCCGAGGAGCAAGGTGAGCCTCATCGAGGTGGACCTGTCAGACCTGAAGGCCCCCGACGAGGACGGGCAGACTGAGGGCCTTGAGAGCTCAGTGGACCTCAGCGGTGACAGCGACCAGAAGCCGGGGGTTGGCTTCTTCTTCAAGGTAAACAGCACTTTGTTCAAGGTAGCGCTGTGTCCGACGTGGTCAGTGTCGTCGCTTTATTTTAGTTGTGAGGGTGTTGCAAAGAGCTTCCATTCAGAGCAGGGCCCGCAGACCTGCCTGTGAAGGGCCAGGGCTGAAGTCTGTCACCAGGACTCAGCTCCTCTCACAGCAGCACATCCAGCACCAGCGTGTGTGCCAGCTAAGCCTGGGGTATGGGCCTTTTTCATGTGTCACGAAGTGGTTTTCTTTTGGTGGGTTTCCAATCTCTTTGAAATGTAAAAATAGTCTTGGCTCACAGGCTCCATAGGAGCAGGCCAAGGTCTGTCGGGCCTGCAGTGGAACCTACATGGCTGTGGAGACTAGAAGCGTTTTTCCCTTGGTGCCGCTTGTCGTTTTGTTAGGAAGAAGAGAAAAGTGAGCTGTGAGGACGCCTTTGGGTTTAGTATTAGTGTCTCCTTTCCTCCAGGCAGCCGGGAGGGTGGACGTACCACCACCGTCTGATGTATCTCAGCAGAGACGCTTGCTCTGCTTGGCATCTGTGCTTTAAAGTGGAAACAGACGAGCAGACAGCTGGGTGTTGGCTCACACGCGGAAATACATGTGCAGTTTTAAGGAGTCTGAGTTCAGTCTAGACCTCTGGGAACTGACAAGCTTCACAGATGCTTTTTGAATGGATGGTGTCTTTTCCGTTTGTATTTTGGCTGACTCGTCAGAAAGAGGAAGCGAGTCTGGACTGTGTTGAATCTCAGCCTGGGTCGCGGGGGGGGGCTTGCTGTGCGGCCGGACCTCCCTGATGCGCCGTGCCTTCTGCAGGACGAACAGAAGGCAGAAGATGAACTCGCCAAGAAGCGGGCGGCCTTCCTCCTGAAGCAGCAGCGCAAGGCCGAGGAGGCCCGCATGCGCAAGCAGCAGCTGGAGGCTGAAGTGGAGCTCAAGAGGGACGAGGCCCGGTAACCTGGCTCTGTGGGGCGGGGAGCTGGGCTGGCAGCCCCCATGTCTCAGGATGATCCCATGTCATGTCCTCTTCATCCCACTCAGGCTGGAATCTCCACCTGAGCCCTGAGAGTTTTGTGTGTTTATCCCATCATCAGTGGCGGGATGTGTGCCGCTGGGCATGGTGGCCCAACTGTGTCACGGGGCTGGGTCCTGACTCAGGGAGGGGGTGCAGGGCCCTCAGTCCCTAGGCCCCACTGTAGGAGGCCATGCCTGCCCCACTCCAGGCATGTCCCTCTAACCAGGACGGTCTGACATTTCCTCTCAGGCGCAAAGCCGAGGAAGATCGGATACGGAAGGAGGAGGAGAAGGCTCGGCGAGAACTCATCAAGCAGGAGTACCTGCGAAGGAAGCAGCAGCAAGTCTTAGAGGAGCAGGGACTGGGCAACTCTAAGTCGAAGCCAAGAAAGCCACGGCCAAAGTCAGTCCACCGGGAAGAGCCACGTAGCGACTCGGGAACCAAGTGCTCCTCAACCCGTAAGCAGACGGGTGGTGTGGGCAATGGCCCTGGGCCCCCTCAGCCAGGGGGATGCTGGGATAGGGGACGTGTAGGTGGCTTCTGCAGGGTGGGGAGACTGGAATGCAGAGCTCAGGACATTACTCAGGGCTGGTTCCTGGTTCTTTCTGCTGCACAAACCTGGTGGGATGAGCCTGTTTTACAAGTGTTTCTTCTCTGACAGCGGATAACCTGAGCCGGGCCCAGTCAGGCTCCAGCCTGTCCTTGGCCTCCGCAGCAACGACCGAGCCTGAGAGTGTTCACTCAGGGGGCACACCCACCCAGCGGTAAGGACATGGTAGGAGGTGGTCTGGGCTCCAGGATGCAGGCTCTCGGGTGGGTTCATCATGCAGCATTGACTCCACCGGCCTCCTTGCTCTCCTGCCACGCACTCGGAGACATCATGCTCTGTCCTTAAATACTCCAGCATGTGTCTTCTGTGAGCAGGGACTTCCTTGTGTAACCACAAGGGTCGGGCCAGCACTCCCATCAGCTCCACAGTCCACGCCCAGTTGTCACCAGTTGGGTCGTGTCCCGAGAACCGAGTTTCCTGTCAAGCCCACATGTGCCCCGTGTCTCTTTAGTCCACGGCAGTCCACAGCTCTTTGTCTTTCTTGACCTTGGCACAATATGTAGGGGCCCGTTACTTGTTGAGTGCCCTTCAGGGTGAGTTCCCTGTGTGTAGGTCCAGGCTGTGTGTTTGGGTGGGAACAGTCCAAAGGGAAGGTGTGTCTTTCTCAGAGTTGCCTCGCACTTTGACGTGGGTTGTTTAAGGTGCGCTTTTTCCACTGGCCCTGAGAGTCCCTTTTGATTGACAAGTGATTTGGGAGTACTGGGCCCTTGGTAACCTCACACGTGCTGTTGGCCTTCTCTGGGAGGAGGCCCCCCACACCCACCTGTCCTTTATCGTGTGTGCAACCCCATGGCCGCAGCCAGTGTCCTGCCTCTTTGTATGTCTGGCGGCCTCTTGTCGCCTGGGCTTCGTGGAGAATGCTTATTAGGGACTCCATTTGGATTGGGTTTTCATTCTGGGGGTCAGTTATTTGAGCTGGATTCCAGCTCCAGCCCTGCCTGTCTCCCTTGTGAACAGCTCTGAGACACTAGCTGTGGTCAGCACAGACCACTTGTCATTGAGACTGTCATTGTCACTGGGGTTTGGGCTCGACCGGCCGTGTCCCCTCCCTCTTTCCCAGGGTCTTGTCCCTTGTTTGCAGCTGCACATACGGCCTAGCTTCCCCAGCCAGCAGAGGCCAAGCACTGCTCCCTTCAGCCCATCCGCTTGTTCACACCAATAACTGAGGTGCATTTTGCCCCGGGGTTTACTATTGTGTTCGTGGGGAGCAGGCCCCCATGCGCTCACTGGCCATGGCGCTTCCCCTACTGCTGATGGTCCTTCTTGCTGCTTGTCCTGGTTCAGGGTGGGATTCCACAGCCGGCGGCAGTGGTGGGTTAGAGGATGTGGGCCATGACATCTCTTCCTTCAGGGTCGAGTCGCTGGAAGCCTTGCCCATATTAAGCCGCAACCCCAGCAGGAGCACAGACAGGGACTGGGAAACAGCGTCTGCAGCGTCCTCCCTCGCCTCGGTGGCCGAGTACACAGGTGACAGCCTTGCTCCCCACAGGTCACGAGCACATCCGTGTCCGTTTGGGGAGATCCTGGCACTGCTGGCTCTCAGCTGCCTCGGTGGCAGAATGCACCTGTCAGTCTGCACGGCCCCACTGCTGAGTCTATGTCCTTGGCACGTAGGAACCTTAGACTTTTAAAATTATTCCCTGGTTTGGTTTTGTTCTTATATCAAAGAAATTGAAATTAGGAAGGGAATAAGTTATTAGTAATTTAGTCTTTTCCTTTAAAATTTATAACTCAGAATTCTTTCAAATATATTTGAAGCGCGCCTTCCATTTTCAAAGTGTCACATATGCCACTAATTTAGCCTTGCGGTTGCTCGGTCATAAGACACTGTTGGTTCTCATGTGCAGGTGCCTCAGAGGGTTAATTTTGCAAATCTTGGCCTGGTTTTCATAGGTCCGAAGCTCTTTAAGGAGCCCAGTAGCAAGTCCAACAAGCCTATCATCCATAACGCCGTGTCTCACTGCTGTCTGGCTGGAAAAGTGAATGAACCTCATAAGAACTCCATATTAGAGGTAAGTGTCAAAGCTTACCACTGCTTCTTAAGTAAAATAAAGGTGTTTGTTAAGTTAGGGTTCTTTCTAAAAGAAAGCATTCTGATGATTTACACACTGCCCACTGTGTGCGGGTTGGAATGGGTGTGAGCACGGGTGCTCGGGCCTGTGTTGTGTCACACTCGCCGGGCAGAATTGGACAGAGAAGTGGGAGGGGCTGCTCTAGGATGGAGCCGGGGCCTGGGTGGTGGGCCAGTGAGAAGCCTTCTGGCCCAGGGTGGAGGTGGGAGAACGGGTGGGTGGAAAATGGGTGATACTACATTGAAAGTGGGGGAACTAGTGGATTCATGTGGTGGCTGAGGGCAGTGTTGTTGGAGGCAGAGGAGACAGATGACAGCGCAGCCTGGAAATTCCTGTGCTCCTAAGAATAGCCACATGTCAGGATGGGGACAAGAGGAGCTGCAGGAGCGGGTGGGGGTTCCTAGGGCTGGAGGAGAGGGAGGGTGTTGGCGGTGGCTCCAGTTCTGAGCCTGGACCGCAGAGGAGTGGAAGTTCAGGGAAATGCTGGTCGTTTGTGTTGTGCTGTGTTGCTGTCACCTCCCTGAGAGCCATGCTGTTCATACCCTGCAAGCACTGTCAGGCCTGGTCCCTCGAAGGCAAAAGGATACTGGCCTCAGCAAGCAGAAAGGCCTGGAAGGCAGCTGGAAATAGAGGGTCAGGGCAGGACTTGCATGCCCTTGGTCTGACAGAAGCTCGACCTTAGAGTGCGTGGTGACCTTTCCACTGTGGGGGAGGTACTTGGTCCCTCGGTGTCGTTGCAGTGGTCTGGGTGCTGGGGGTCCTGTGGGGAACAGACTTAGAGGCCTGGGTCGTGGAGCTGACATGTGGGGGCAGGGCTGTGGTACAGGGGTCTCTGGGTGCGTCCACAAGGTCAGACGGGGAAGCCATTCAGCTTGCGGGCCAAGTCTGTTCAGCTCTGACATTGCAGCATGAAAACCCGCCACAGACTGAACACACAGGCACAGCACCATCCTCATAAAACTGCTCACAGGATGAGGGGCTACCTTTCGCCCAAGGGCGGCAAGTTAGACAGTGATGAGTCATCTGGAGAAGATAGAGGGGAGCAGACCAGGTCCCCGGGGGGCTGCAGGGTCACCTGGTCAGGGTGGGTCTTACTAGAAAGTGACCTTCGTTAGAACAGAGACCTGGAGGAGCAGGGAGGGCCGTGCAGACTGGGGACGAAAGCTCCAGGCAGCTCGGGGAGCTCCTGGGAGTCCAGTGGGGGTCGGAGGTCACAGGGCAGCTCCCACAGGGCCTTGTCTTCGGAGGGACCCCAGCTCTGCTTTGAGTGAGAGGACGAACACAAGTGTGGGCAGGAGGGGCCATGAACCGACCCCTCCTGCTGGGCCACGTGGCTGCCAGTGAGAATAGACCCTGCCGCAGTCTCTCTGGATGTGTCGCACGAAGGGAATCTCCACCCGGCCTCGTCCGCGGGGCATGTGTCAGGGCTCAGTCCTTTCCACGGTGAATCGTGCCCCACTGAGTGCACGGGCGCGTGCGTGCCGTCCTCCACGGTGGGCACTCGGGTTGTACCTGCTGCTTGGCTGTTACAAATACTGCTCTGGACAAGGTCGTGTGGACGAGGTCGTGTGGACACGTGTTTTAGTCTCCAGAAGAACTGCCAAGTCCCTGGCTGGTGGGTTTGATGTTCTCAGCAGTGTGCAGGGCTTGTGTCTCCACTCTCCCAGCGCCACTCTCCGCCTGTCTGCTCGTGCCTGTCCAGTGGGTGTGGTTCTGACTTGCATTTATTTCCCTGGTGGCTCATGATGTCGAGTCTCTTCACAAGTGTTTTCCCTTAATCTGAAAAGCGTTTTTAAGTAAAATGTCAGTAGCACCTGACACTCCCCCTTGTGATGACAGTGTCAGAGCTGATGGCTGTGATGAGTGTCAGCTAGCTTCTGGCCGGGCTGCTCGTGTGGGTGGCAGCCATGGAACCACGCTGAGGCTCTCGTGTCTCCTCCCTTGATGCAGGAGCTGGAGAAGTGCGACGCCAACCACTACATCATCTTGTTCCGTGATGCTGGCTGCCAGTTCCGGGCCCTCTACTGCTACTACCCCGACAGCGAGGAGATCTATAAGCTCACGGGCACGGGGCCCAAGAGCATCACCAAGAAGATGATCGACAAGCTGTACAAGTACAGCTCCGACCGGAAGCAGTTCAACCTGATCCCAGCCAAGACCATGTCCGTCAGTGTGGATGCGCTCACCATCCACAACCACCTGTGGCAGCCCAAGCGGCAAGCCGTGCCAAAGAAGACCCAGACGCGGAAGTGACGCGTGGGCAGGCCGAGGAGGCCATGGGCCATGTTTACTCTCATCCATTTGGGTACGAAGTGAGCAAAGTCACAGACCTTTTTTGAAGAGACTTCTGGACGACAGAGGAAAACCGTCCCTTACCCCCGCACACAGTGCCAGGTGGAGCAGGGGTGGAGGGACGCACGCCGGGTCCAGGCCGCGACTGCTGTGGTCACTGCTGTCCCCGGGGCTGCCCGCCGAGCGATGCGTGTGTGGCAGAATCCCTTTTACTTGAAGTTCTTCAGTATAAGTTAAACGTGATTTACTTTGCTTTCTGGCCTCTCTCCTCACCCCCTTTGCACACGGCCCGACCCCCTCACGCGGGCGGCTGCGACCTCGTGAGGTTGGAGGACCGAGACGGGCTCTCCAGTCCGGGTGTTTGAATGTCTTCAGGAAAAGAATTCGTACTGGGGGGGCTTGTTCACTTGGGAAGTTGTATGATATTTATTGATAGTGTCTACTGCCAGCGTTTATATCCAGTTCTAAGGTTTCTGAAAAATGGTCTTGTTCCTTGCTGCTCAGAAGACGTTTACTGAAGACGCAGCTCACTGAAGCACGACATGTGTCTGCTGCGGGGCTCACAGCAGGCAGGCCCCCCGACCCGGGCATGGCTGCCGGGCGGACAAGGTGCCGCTCGCCTGGTGAGGATGGTGAGGGGAGCAGGTCCGTGGCTCCTGAGTTTGGGCGGCACTCGAGGACTTGTCCTCTTTAATAGGTTGGTGAAGTAGACGGTTTCCACTCCGCATGTGTCCAGAGGTGGTCACCTGAGCTGGCAGTTCCGTTAGCATTTCTGTTGTCACGACGCATCCGTCTCGGTTCCTGCTTCTGGCAGAGCAGCGTGCCCGGGAGGAGCGTGGTCTTTGCGTGACCGCAGACATCAGACCTTCGAGTGGTCATTGTGGTTTTCTCGGAGCTCCAAGTAAGTGGGTGTCTCTGGGCTCTCCTGGGCCTCATGGTCTTACTCCTCCCAGGCAGCATTCCCTGGGCATGGCCATGGCCCTTCGCCTGGCACCTGTGTGACAACCAGCTGCTCCGACTGCCGGAAGATTCTGGAGTCACTTGTGTTTTGCACATATTTTTTTGGGAGTGTTACTTGAATCTATCTTGAACTGCAGAACAAAACGGAAGGTTAGTAGACGTCGGATGAATGTGACTGTCCCATAGTTTTAGGTGGAGGGGGCGGGGGAAAGATGGTACGAACCCTAGAAGGGACGTAGGACCCCGTTCTCTGGCTCCGAGGGGCGGCTGGTCGCAGTCCTGTGTTCGGTCGGCCAGCGGCCCCGCCTTGTACTCAGTGGGACTGGAAGCTGGTGTTGGACGTCCCGTGAACCCTGGTCCATGCTCTGCACAGGCGTGCTTGTTTCTCACTGTCTGTTTGATATTCTATGATATTTATTTTAAGAAAGCACTAAACTGTAATAAAGTAATTAATTTGCTTTTTATTAAGCACGTGTGTGAGGTTGTCATGGCTCATTTTCTTGCCCAGTGTTCCCGCTACGTGCTTTAGAGGAGTTTTGTGCTGTTTTTAGTGAACTGAGGGCCGTTTCACGAGGCAGCTGTGCTGCTCTGTCCTGGGGCACCAGGCTCTCCAGCCTCTTCCCTGAAGCCAGGCGGGTGGCAGCTTCTCCGCCCATCCTCTGACTGTCCTGGTGAAGCAGGACCTGACGGTCTCCAGTGAGGATCTGGGCACGTCTGGTGCAGCGCTAGAGAGTCTCATTCCTGCCAAAGTCAGCACGCAGAGCATCCCAAGAGTTGCTCGTTAGCACGCGGCAGAGTTTCCTGTTCCAGACGCAGACGCAGCAGCTGCCACTCTGATGCCCCGAGTCCAGGCCAGTACCCACATCCCCGGCCTGTGGCAGAGCAGCCTTCCCTATCACTGAAAAGCGTGGACACGTCCCCGAAGCACCCGCATGTGTGTCCCAGGTCGAGCCTCCCCTGCCTCCCCAAATCCTGCAGCTGCAACGGGCTGCTGGGCTGCCCAGGTGGGTGGACTTTGTAAGGAGAGCGCTAGCTGGATGCACCCCCATGGTGTTGGGCCTGCTGTTTGGGGCAGACGGCCTTCAGTGAGCTGAGGAATAAAGAAAAAGGCTGCTCACTAATTTTGTGTTGAGAACTTTTACCACAAAACATTGGCGCCGCCTTCTCTGGGCCAGTCTGGGTGCTGGCGGGGCCTGGTGGTCACTTCTTTCCCTCACACAGCTCGCAGTGTGAGGGTGCCATACATCCCCGCGGGAGGGGAGCCCACGCCCCGCTGCCCCAACCCGTCAACTGGAAACGAGTCCGGTGACTTTCCAGGACATCTTCCCAGATCAGTGTTCAGGGATCACAAGGTGGAGCCCCATCCAGTGACCAGGCAGAGTCCCCTCCCCATACAAGTGTCCCTATCCCTGGGGGAGCTGGGGCAGGGGTGCCAGAATAGGTGGTGGGACCCTGCTGCAGGTGATGGTGCCAGAGGGGACCTGGGAGCCACTGACACCCCACCAGGCCCTCAGGCCACCCTGGCCCATGTCCACTTGCCCATCACACCATCAAAGGCTCCCATCACTACCCTGATCACCAGCCCCTTCCTGCCACTGCCCCCAGCACCACCATTCAAGGGCCTATAGGTACTGTCAGGACAGAAGGGTCCCAGGAAGGAGGGGCAGGCCTTGGAGTCCCATCTGTCCCTCCCTCAGGGCTGGACCCTCTGCGCCGTGTAGTCCCCAGCCACCCCACCCCTCCTGAAGCTGGAGTACTTTGTGAGCAAGACCCCCGTGCCTGGTGCTGGTGGGGTGCACATCTACCCCACCCCCAGCGGCCCTGCCCCCTAACCACCCCACAGCTGCTCGTCTTGGGAGTCCTGCACACAGCACAGCTGTGGGCAGAGCCTGGGGTCCACGTGCCCATCCCAGGGGCTTGCCAGGGAGCCGACCCCCCTCACCCAGCCACGCTTCCTGGCTGCCAGGACCACGAAGGACTTGCTTCCTGCCTCAGGCCCAGGCCAGTGGCATTTCCTGGGGATGGGCTTCCCTGTGGGGTTCTGGGTGGGGGATCACAGCAGGTGTTTTGAAATTGGGTGGCTGGGGGCAAAGACCCAGGCCTGGAGCACGGAGCCACAAGGGGGGAGCCCAACAACCATCCTCGAGTTTGCAGAAAGCATTGTTTAATAAAAGGTTCCAGCACTGACCGTGCAAACCTGTCAGTCACAAGGGAACCACGGGGCACCTGGTGGACGGCCCCGCCCAGGGCCCTCCCTCGGTGAGGAGAAACCTCTGATCCCACCGGCAGCCCGGCAGCTGATTGTGCTTCAGATGGATGTTGAAAGGGCATCGGACAGGCCACGGGAAGCACTGTCCTCTGCCAGGCGCCCACCGACGCTGTGGCCAGAGGGTTCCGTGTGAAAAGAGAATGCCTCTCCCTCGCCCCCTGAAGTCACTGCTGGGGAGCCCCTTGGGGCATCTCCCAGTGGCTCCACCCTCTTCCTCATGCACCCAGGCTGCCAACTCGCTTTCCAGAGCCAGCTGTCCTCGGGCTCCGGGCCGAGCTGCAGGGCCACCTGTGCTTTAATTTTCTTGGGGACGGGCCCCGAAGCTCGCCCGCTGCATGGAGCAGGAGCTCCCACTGGCAGCGAAGCCCCTTGAGGCCTGGCTGCGACCCAGAACCTGACCATATCGTGCCTAAGACCAGCTGGGACCCACAGATCGGAGAAAATGCGGGCTCGTGTGGGCAACGGGCTCCTGTGGGCACCGTGCTTCTCCTGTCCCACAAGCCATGCACCTGCTACAACAGCAGCGTCCAGTTGGCTCCCATCCAGGCACCTGCCCCAACCCAGGTCACAGTTTCAGTGCGTTTGTGTCAAAACATGGATCGTGTAGATTCGTAAAAACAGGTTAAAAAAGGCTTCCCGCCTGCAGTCTCTCCATCGACCCACGTGAGGTCTCTCTCCGTCACGTTGCACGTTTCGGGAGCAGCCTGGGGCGGGCAGCCAGGTTTGCCGCCAGGTCCCTGTGCTCATGCATCACGCGGCGTCCCCATGGGAGTGGGTTCGTGCAGGGCTGGCTCAGAGCTGCGTCTCATCGCGAGTCTCAGGGTTGCAGGAGGCCAGCTTGTTGCTGCAGCTGCTCTTGCGGCTCTGGGAGCTGCTGGCCACATGGGCCAGGGGGTCACAGCGGATGAGATACCTGCGGGCAGGGTGGGGACCCTGGGTGTCAAAGCTGCCCCCAGGCAGGGCGGCCAGTGCATGCAGCTGGATGACCAGCGTGGGGGCGCCAGGGACAGCCTCCACACTGCTGGGGGACGTGGTACTCACACGATGTCGTTGGGCTCCAGCCTTGTGTCGGGCGGGGGGTTGATGAGGACATAGGAGAGGGTGTTCTGGTGGTCATTCATCTCGTCTGCAGAGGAGACAGGCCCCCGGCAGTCACCACTCAGCCCCGGCCCACCTCTGCTTGGCCCAGCCCGGAGACCCAGGGGCTCTGTCCGACTATGGCGTCTTCCCAGCCTTTCTGGCCATCCTGCCTGAGCTCCTCAACCTGGCAACTCAACCAGGACTGGTCCCCTCTGATGGACACCTGCCCCTGGCCCCCAGCCTGCACAGGCAGGGATCAGCCATGAGGGGCAGCGGGTACTGGTTCCAACCCACACCCCAGGCAGCTTGCTCAGCCTGAGCAGCCAACACCTCACAGATGTGGCAGCCTGAACAGAGGCACTGAGTACACCTGCAAACACCTACCACCTGCATAAACCTGTGGACACCTGTGCACATATATGCACACACCTGCAAACAATCTATACACATCCACCACCTGTATAAACCTATGGACACCTGTGCACACCTGCACATATGCCACACACACCACACACCTCTACACACCTGCACACACACCTAACCCAGGCTTCAGGCTTGTCCCCCAACTCCAGAGCTGTGTCCCTGGCCCAGGCAGGCCACCCCCACTCCACTCCTCCTGCTTTGAACTCTGTCCTGTTTCCCAAACCCTGCTCATGTGACTATCGGCCCAGAGGAGGGACCCCTTTGGTGCATACAGGGCCTCTGAGGGGACAGCCCAGCGTCCAGCTCACTGGGTAGCTGTGGGCTGTGACCCGCAGAGTGAGAACCAGTTCTTAGAGAAAGACGTCATCTCACAGACGTCTTCCAGCTGAACACTGGGAGGGGGTGAGCCCCATCCTGGCTGTGGCTCTAGTACCCAGGCAGGGAAGTGAACTGCTTGTGGCCTGTTTGCCCGTCTGGGGTGTCTAAGGCACCTCCTGCCCCGGAACAGCCGTCATGGGGACGGCCCTCCAGAGGGGTCTTACCCAGAGTGACCTGTGCCCGGGCTCCTCCTGGTAAGAATGTACAGGCTGGGGCCACTGACACAGGGACAGGGACAGGGGCTGTGCTCGTATGAACCGGGGCGTTCAGAGCAGAACCAGGCTTCCTGGTGATCCGATCCCCAATGCAGGCAGGCAGGGCACAGGAGGGACTTTGGGGCTGACGGACAGGCAAAGACCCTGGGGCGGTCACCAGGTGCCAGCTTCCATGTCCTTTTGCCCAACGGCCATGGCTATCTCTGCTCTTTTCCCAAAACCCTTGGCCTGGACTCTTTAATGGGAGCTGCTGGCTGCAGAGCAGGTGGCTCATGCTAGAGGCCCCGCCAGGCCCCAAGTACCCCACATGCATTTCTGGAGTGAGCAGACGGGGATGGGCACCGGGAGCGTGCAGCCCCAGGTGGCGCAGGCCAGAGAGGGAGGCCGCTCTCGGGGGCCCCGCGTCACTGACCACAGCCATCAGGAGGCTGGTCACGTTGACACGCCCGAATGGAGAGGCTGGATCCAGGCTGGAGCCACTCTGTGCGAGCTGGTGCCTGCTGAGAGCTGGGAGCCTGTCTCACTCCCTCCCACCCTGGGCCCCGGGTGGACGGGCCACGGCATCCTGAATCTAGAAGACTGGACCCAGCCGGGCCTGGCTGTGCTTGTGGGTGTGTGGGGCTCTAAGGTGGAGGGCACGGTGGCCAGCTGCAATGCCAGGGGGGCTGTGGTCAGTCAGGAGGTGCTGACCATGATTTCCCCAGAACCGTCAGCTTCACCACCACCAATGTGCTCAGGTGAGGGCCTGGGGTGTGGAAGGGGCAGGCAAATGACCAAAGGTGGTACCAGCTCCCCCCTGCCCCACCCCACCCTACCCTGCATCCCAGGCCCCCACGGGGCACTCTGGCCCTGGGTGTCCACACTCTCACACTTCCCCAGCTTCCTCCTCTACAAATTGGGGTAACTGAGGTGCCTCCCTTCCAGAGTGGCTGTCAGGAAGGGGCTGGGGCCTTATGACGACACCCTTTCCAGGGAACCTCCCTGGAGCCCTGGCTAATGGGGTCACCTTCCCCCCAAGATCATGCCTCCCCTCCAGTTTTACGCCCTGGCCCGGGCTCCCCTGTGTCTGCACATGGTGGGGCTCTCAGTAAACAGCACCCAGAGAGTCCCTGTGACCGGGAGCCTCAGCCGGAAGCAGGGAGGGGGCGATGCAGCCACATTCATGGAAGCCACCAGGGGCCGACTGGGGCGCACTTTGCCGGCTGGTTGTCCAGGAACGCCATCAGGGTTGAGTAAGGGAAAGCACAAGACCCCGGAGATGCCAACGCCAGCCCCCCGCAACCCCTGGACCATGGGGGCTCCATTCCAGGGCCTGGGTCTGCCCGACAGCTCCCCCTGAACTAATGTCTCCTGGGGCCCAGGAGGCCTCAGCGCCTGCTCACCCCTGGGTGCAGGGGCCACCCCAGGGGTCCTGAGCTCTTCTGGGGCTGCAAGGAGCCCCCAGGGAAGGAGGGGTTCTCAGCTGCGAGGCTTGTGGCCTGGGCTCTGCTGGGGTTTCAGGGAGGATGTCAGCTGTCCACCCGGCTTGGGCAGCCCATGAAGTTTCAGGGTAGGTTAGACCCCTCCCAGGCCTCACCACACTCCACCCTGAGGGCGGGGGACCCTGGCTGGGGACCATCCATCTGGATGCTTCCCGAGGGAGACCTGGGGAGACTCAGGGGTCCTCGGGAGTCCAGGGGGCAGCTGCAGGCTAGGGTGGCCCCCCCGGGCGGGCAGTCAGGGCAGACATGACCCAGGACATATGTTAGACAACAAATACGAGAGGAGCCACTGGGTGGCCGGAGCTGCACAGGGGCTGTCAGGACTGACACTAACCACCATCCTCTGGGCCAGTCCGTCGTCAGCGTCCGATGGAGGAGGGGCTGTCAAGGTCTCCACAGTGGGACCTGGGCGCACAAGGCCCCGCTTGCAGGGACCCTCTCTGGAGCCCTATCTGCCTGCCTGGCCGGGGTGGGGCCGGCACCAGGCTGCCCATCGGTGGAGGGTGGACATGCCCCCTTAGGCGGAGGCCGAGTCCGCCAGAGCAGAATTACCTTGCAAATATCCCAGGTTTACCCGATTCATGACATCACTGGCTGTTAAGTTTGCTACACCCTCTACAGAACACACAGGAAAAGGGACAGACAGAGACAGAGAGAGAGAGGTCAGCAAGCGCACAGGCCGGCTCAGCGGGGTGGGGCCAGCTGCATGCGGGGGGCCGTCCACACGGGGAAGCAAGTCTGAACTGAGCAAAAGTTGGTTCCCTCTCTGCCAGCTCTGGGGGTTGGGCAGGATCGTAAGTGCAGGCAGGTACCAGCCAGCCTGGGGGTGGGTGGCTGGGATCGCCACCTGCCCATACTTGCCATGGGGCCTTGAACACCAGACACGCCACTGAGAGCCTCAGCATCAGTGTCTGCCTGGAAAGGAGGTGACCGCACCCACCTGGGCAGGGACATCAGAGGGGACAAAGGTAAACTGTGGCTGGGGTGTGAAGGGGACAGGGCTGGGATGGCCCTATTGGTCACCTGTCCCCCAAACCCTGACCTCTGAGTCCCCCACAGGCCCAGGGCTGTACGGCCAGTGGATGGCCCAGCCCGAGTGACCCCTGGGCAGCTCTTGGACGACCCCTGAGCCAGCCGATCCCACATGAAATGGGGCTCATGGGCCCCAACCCAGGAGGCAGAGGGCAGGAAGCAGGGTGAGGGAGCGTGACAGAGCCAGGCCTGAGTGATGGCAGAGGCCCCAGTGGAACCCAACGCAAGCCAGGGCCTCATCCCAGCCCAGGGTGTGGACACTGCTGAGAAGCGGTGGGGAGCTCGGGCCCCCTCGGCCCCATCAACAGAGGCAGCGTCTCCAGAGTGAGGGAGGGGGTGAACCGCTGTCTTCTGAGCCAGCCCAGCCATCCAGGCCTGTTCTCAGTCAAGCTCACAAACTTCACCCCAAAACAAGCTATAGAGAAAGGAGGGGTGGCCTGAACCTGCTGGCAAGGGTGGCGTCACCCTGAAGCAGCAGGAAAGGGGTGGCTGTGCCCTGGGAACAGCAGTGGGTGCCACGAGGCCATTCGCCCAGCTGCCAACATGCCCCAAGCTCTGGCTGACGGGGGGGCTGGGGGAGGGTAGCCCTGGGGCCCCCCTGCCATGCCACATCTCTGTTCTCCATGAGAACACAGTGGTCCCTACGTTCCTGATGGCCTGGGGGTCTGGCCAGTGGTAACCAACCAAAACCTGTGCCCATGGCTTTCGGGGAGCCCAGCCTGGCCCTGGCCCTCCTGCGGCCACCTCCTCCTACACCCCAGGCTCAGCCAGCTCCAGCCCCTTTTTTACAGATGGGGAAACTGAGGCCCCAGAGGGCTGGGGATGAGCCAGCCCTTCCTTATGGGGTTCGGCACCAGCTCTGGGAGGTCCCGAGCCCTCCCCACACCAGAGAGCTCTGACCAGCCTCGGGCGGTGCCTGGAGCTGGCCCTGCAGGCAGATGGATGGACAGACGGGCAGAAGGGAGGCTGTGTCCAGTGAGGGCCCAGGACACCTCCATCCCTGCCCGTGTCCTGCCCGTGGGGCGGTGCCGCGGGTCCTTACCGTAGCCGGTGGTGGGCAGCCCCAGGTGTTTCATGCGGTTCTTGACCAGCTCCGACAGCTCCTGCCTTTCCGAGCGCCGGTACAGGCCGGCCCGCTGCTGGCTGATCCACTCGGCCGCCGCCTTCCCCGTGTGCTTGGGGCTCTTGCGGCTCAGCTTCCGGGCCCACTGCAGGCTCTTCCGCCGCAGCAGGGGGTGCTCGGCTGGGTCGCTGCCGACCGCATGCCGGCCGTGGGTGCTGCCACCGCCTCCACCGGTCCCTACCCGTGCGTCCCAGGGTCCCTTCACTTCCCGCGTGTCCTCGCAGTCCTCCATGCTCACCGAAATCTGGGACTGGCCAAGGCAGGTGGTGGTGAGGGCCGGAGGACAAGGGACCTGGGAGGGGACGCAGGGCCGGGGAGGGGGCGCAGCAGGGGAGCTGGTCTGTTGATAGGAGGACGGTCCCAGCCTCCTGTGGGGGGGCCCCAGGGCCCAAGGGATGCAAGTGTCTTCCTTCTCCATCTGGGGGGCCCCAAAGCAAGCCTCCCTCCTGAGCCCGAGGCCCAGTGTCCACCATCTGCTGGGGGGCAGCACCCTCACCTCTGGGCCCTGGTATCAGTGGGTCCCGTCTGGGCCCTGCACGTCCTGATTTTGCCATGGAGGGTCACCGCCTCCCTCTGCCTCAGTTTCCCCGTTTTGTGGGGCAGGAGAAACCAGAACACGGTGGACTGGGAAGCACCGGGGCCTGTGTGTGGCTCAGTGGGTATGTGGGGCTCTGGGGGTGATATGTGGACCCCACTGGGCAGCACCCTAAGAGGCAGGGGGCTGAGGACAGGGAGATGGGGCCAGGCCAGCAGAGAGGGCAGGCACCAGCCAGGATGGAGCCATGGCATGACAGGCAGGTGGCAGTGTGGCTGGGGAGCCTGGGCTTCCCACCCTGGGCCTGTTTCCCCATCTGTATGGGAGGGAGATGCCACAAGCCCTCTGAGCTGCTCCATGGCCGACATGGCCCAGGACTGGCTTCCTGGTGCTGGTGTGGCCCAGGGCCCTGCACCCCTTCCGGGCCCGGGGTGGGTCTGGGCTCAGGAGGAACTCTGCAGACGCAGGACACCTCGGTGTTACGCTTGAAGGGGCCACTCACCTGGACTCTAAGGTCGTGGGGCTGCAAAGGAAACCAGGGGCAGTCTGGGTACCTGGGGGTGCCCTTCTCCCAACTCTGCCTGAGCCTCCTGTGGGCATCAGCAAGGCAGGTTGCCCACTGTGGTTCTGGGGAGGCACAGGGGCCACACTAGATGTCCCACATATGGGGCACATGGACTGGACCCCAAAGCTACAATGAAGAGGGTTAGTCACAGAGAAGTGGGGCTGCCCAGCTCTGTGGAGCCCCACCACCCCGCCCACCAGCCTCTGAGCCCCGCCTGCCCCACCCACCCACCTCTGCCGTGGAGAAGACGTGGCTCTGGGTCCTGTAGATGCCGATGGGGATCTCTGCGCTGGAAGAGCACAGTTTCTGGAAGAGGCGGCCATAGGTGCCAATCCACAGGTCACCCTCGGTGATCTTCATCTGGAATGTGTGGGCGCCCTGAGTGGGGCCAGCCCCAGGTGGGCAGGTGGTGCCTGGCGCCCTGTGCTGACCCAGGCGGGTCACCAGCAGCCTCCCTCCCTACCTCAGAACAGCCCGCCTGCCCTGGCCCAGTCACTTACGGCACAGAGGTAGCCGGAGCCTGGGGTGGTGTCCAGACCCAGCAGCAGCCTGGTGATGGAGATCATGTAGTCCTTCACGAAGGACTGGCCAGAAGGGAGGCCGCAGTGAGACCGGGCACCGCGAGCCGCTCTGCACCCACATCCAGGGGCAACCCCAATCCCCTGAACACGCCCACCAGGCAACCACCAGCTTTAGTGCTTGCCTGTCCCCCAGCACCACTCAACCAGCGGACAGAGCTGGGAGGCCCTCCCCAGCCTCATCTTTAATTCACTTGGTCATTAGGTCAGGAAGGACCTGGGCAGCATCTTCTGAGAGCAGGACTGGGGACATTGAGAGGCGAGTCCCTGCTGTGCCTGGGCAGGGACAGGGCCCAGAGCCACCCAGTGCTGGTCGGCCTCCAGGGGACCCAAGGAGGGACGCTCAGAGGAAGGCAGGTCACTGAGAACTGGGACCAGGCGTTGGCAGAGCAGAAAGAACGGCTGGGGTCCCAGTGGGCACCGCGGGCCCTCCCCGCCTCCCATCCACTGACCTGATATAGCAGCGTGTCCAACATGCTGATGCTGAAGACACGGCCAGCAGCAAACGGCAGGCGGAACATAAAGGCCAGGTTGGAGCCATTCTCTCGCTCCCTCTACAGGAAAGGGGGGGGTTCAGCTGGGCTGGCGCCCAGGGCGCAGGGCTGCATGTGTGTGCCAGCGTGTGTGGTGCATGCACACACGTGCACATGGTATGTGGCATGCACTCATACCAGCAGAGCTGAGCACCTTGCTGTGTGTCCCCACTGGTCACACTGGGGTCCTAACTTGTAAGGATTTGGGGCTGTGAGTAGGAGTGGGGCCCGGGGCACAGGACCTGGGCAGTCACCCAGGGCCCCACTCTGGGGTTAATGCTGTGCCGTGATCACCCTGCAATTCTCAGTGATCTTAGCAACTTTGTCCTGAACGTGTATGTTGTGAATGGAGTCTGCTCTGCTCTGTGACCCAAAGAAAGTTCCTCCCTCTCTGATCCCATCCCTGGTCTGTGCTGAGATGACCACATGCACCTGCTGGGCAGCTGATAGAATGAACACATTTCAGGTTCTGGGGTCATGTCTGGGCAGAGAAAACAAGTCTTAGTGTCACCTGCGTTCAGGTTACTGACAGGACAGGGGGCAGGCCTGCACCTGTCAGGGGTGGGGTGATGTCTACTCCGGCCACGGCCCCCAAGACTCGGGGCTGCACAATCAGAGCCTCACGGGGGAGCTGAGCCTTGGAGCCCCTGTGGAGGAGGGCAGGTGCCAAGCCTCCCATGGCCCCTGGTCCAGTCCTCGAGGCTCTGAGCCTGACAGCTCAGCAGACTGGGCAGGGGAGGTGGGACACGCACCTTCTCCAGCTTGGAAAGAGCCAGGGAGTAGCTGTCCTTGGCGCGGAACTGCATGAACCGCATGTTGGAAGGGTGGGTGAGCTCCGTGGTGATGCTGAGGCTGGGGAAGAGCCTGTGGGGGGCGAGCACTCAGGGCAGGGGAGTCTCGATGGGGGAGGGGACTCAGGGGGACCCCGGGGTCCCGAATGAGGGCAGGGGCTCCAGGGTCACGGTGTGGAGGGCTGCCCGCCCCGCGTGTGAGCGCCAAGGCCGCTCACCGGAACATGGTCTGCACGTTGACGATGGTCTTGGCGTCGGCCATGTAGTCCTCCTCGGCGCTCATGGTGCTCTCTTTGTCCACCACGACCAGGTTGTCCGCGTAGATGATGCCGCACTGCAGCAGGCTGTCCAGGCTGGCGGGGGAACCACATGGCTGGGGTGCTGGGAGCCCTGGGGTGCACCTGGCCCTCTCCCCCTCTGGCCTCCCCACACCCGGGAGCAGGAGGGGAGAGGGCAGAGTCCTTCTGCCCAGAGTGGACGGGTGCTGAGGACAAGGCCTTACTTGTCCACAGAGCCCTCCATGTAGTAGACCATGGGGAAGCAGCAGATGGCCTCCAGGAAGTGGTGGTCGGGCCTGTGGGGACAGCAGGTCCTGTGGGTGCCTATCCTGGGGCAGGAGGGCTGGACAAGGCGGGGGTCCCCGAGGACTGGGGCATATCAGACCTGGGGGCCTTTAGAGGCCAGTGGGCTGTTTTTTGTTTCCTTCAGGGGAAACCAAGGCCCTGGCAGGGGGCTTGCCCAGGCCAAACCCTGGGTTCTGGGCTGCCAGGCCTCTGGGGATGGCCTGGGGCTCACAGTTGTCGGGGGAGCACAGGGACACGAGAAGCTATGAGGGAGAAAGATGGGTGGCTATCAAGAGACAGAGAGGAAGCCAGAGCCAGTGGAGAGCCGGGGGTGGCGGCAGGCGGGGACCTGAGCGTTTACAGGTAGGGAGCCGGGCGCTCTCCTGTGACCATGCCCTCTGCGCCCGGCCCTGGCTGGGCTGCCTTTGGGCAGGGCCTCACTTGTTGTCCAGCAGCAGCACGATGGGGTTCAGCTCCTTGCGGGACCTGTAGTAGGCCCGCAGTGGCACTATGAAGTTGTACAGCCCGTTCCCCGCCGTCTCTGCGGAGACGATGATTAGCTTGTTCTTGAAGCCATAGGCCTTGGCGTCCTCGTAGCTGTTGTGCTTGCAGCCCTGTGGGGAGGTGCCGGAGCCCAGGCTGATGCTGTGGAGAGGCCAGGGACCCCCCACGAGACGGAGGCCAGGACACTGGTCATCACCCCCACCCCGCGGGAGCCTCATGAGCCAGCAGACCCCCAGCCTCCCCCACAAACAGCTGCAGATGTCAGCCACCACACACACAGGAGGGGACTGTGACGGTGAGGAGGGAGGCAGGTGTCGGTTGGACGTGTGGTTCTGGCAGATGCAGAAACGAACCCATGTCTGGTGTGTGTACACGTTTTCTAACTCAGTCCAGCAAGAGGCCCAGGTGCGGTAACACCCCAGGTGCCCAGGCACGGTTTCTAACATCACTTCCACCAGAAAGAGTCGGGCTCCTGGGAGGAGGGTTGGTTCCAGGGCGGAAGCAGGGCAAGCACAGGTGGGGTGTGGGATCGGTGGACCAGCACAGACACGGCCCTGTGGGTTGGAGTTCTGGAGGAGCAAGTCCCTGAGCCCCCACCCCTCTCCCCTCGGCCACCTACTAACTGCAAAGGCAGAACCAAAGCACTTTCCACCACGGAGGGGCCTGGCCGAGCTGCAGACATGTGGTCAGAGCTGGCATCACCACCGATGCCTCCAGGAGGACACATCACTTTGGGCGCCTGGGCCCCAAATACACAAGCTGTCTTCTCATGAGAAAACATTTGCAAATCTCCAAAGACAGACAGACCCGAGGGAGGGCAAGGAAAGTTCCGGATCAGGGGAGACAGGGCAGCTACGTGCAGAGTTTGGTAGGGAGCGCGCCCCCGTACAGGACGGTGAGGACTGTTGGGACCACAGCGTGTTTGGAGAACGGCCTGTGCGTGGGTCAGACAGACACCCGCATCCCAACTCTGGTGAGTGAACTGTTACGAGGGAGACGTCTGGGAAAAACACGCCTCCAAGATGGGGACACGTGTCCGGGGAAGAAGAGCCCACAGGCAGAGAGCCAGGTCGTGGGTCAGCCGGGGGGTCAGGGATGCCCTGGTCACCGTGTCCTCACCATCCAAGTGCAGTCACAAGGCCAGAAAGAGACCTACCTTGTCCAGCCGCAGGCAGCAGAAGGGGGCCCGCGCGGGCAGGAGGTGGCACAGGGTGGGGGAACTGCCGATGTAGGGGGAACTGGGGGGGTAGCCCTTCACGTACCTGGGGTGGGGGGACATGGGAGCCTCAGCATGGCCTGCTCCCCCTCCCCCGGGCCACCAGCTCCACCACACCCTCTCGCCTGGCAGGAGTGACCACACGGCAGTGCCAGGCCCCACAGATGACCCTGCCTGACAGTCAGGTCACCCCTCCCTGACCCCCCAGCTCTGCCCCCATCCCCCCAAGGCCAGTCTGTCCTTACACACTGCACCCTAGCAGCAAAGACCAGGAGCAGAGTGGCCACGGCAGGGCCCAGCTGGGAGAAATGGATGCCCAGGCCTGGGGCGGCCCTGGCCCTGCTGGCAGGGCACCACCGGTCTGTCCCACCGGAGGCCAGGTGACTGAGGGCAGGATGGCAGCTCCAGATGGGCCTGTGACCTCCAGGCCTGGATGGCACCTCACCAGGGCTCCCCTGCCTGTGACCTCTGCAGACCATGCTGAGGACAGCGCCCCACCAGCCGGACTGTGGTGCCTGGGTGCGGGGGTCCCCAGAAGATTGTTTGCCAAACAAAACGTCCCTCGAAGCCATTTGGAAGCGAGGACTCAGAGCGTGGGTGGGAACCAGGACTGCCACCCATCAGAACCCAGGGCCAGCTCTGACCACGCCCCTTCCTGGGCACCCTGCACCCACAGGGACACTCCCCTTCCCACATTGGGCCACCGCCGCCGTCCCGTGGGCAACACTTACTCTACCACCGACAGCCCATCGTCCTCCGAGGGCGTCATCTCGTCCTCCGACTGGTCACTCAGCAGGTCGCAGGGCAGCAGGGCCGAGCTGTCGGCCAGCTCCATGACGGGCGCGATGCTGGGCCGCCGGCTGCCCGCGCCGTTC